AAGATTAGCATTCGGTTGATGATTCAGAGAACCATGTCGCTACTCATACCCAGTCAGCTTCTCGCTGGTAGTAAATAAACCTGTGAAAAAGAATGTCTGACATCTCCAGGAAGATGCGACCAGGAAAAATGATGTTGGCTTGCCCCTCAACCAGTGATGCTTGGAAAAAGCACTTCTGTTCCCTGCAGGCTGATAACGTTCATGCGACTTCTGAAATCAATCGTGTTAACTTATAGTGGCATATGTCTTTTCTGTTCAAACAACTATCTTCAAGAACGTGCAAAACCCGCGTCAACGCGCAAGCGTTGCCAACAACCGATGCCCAAGTTAAAAGGTTTTATAGCGGGAGACTTTTTTGAATATGGAGAAACATCTATTTTTTCTGCCGCAATTCACTTATTTTGGCGAAAAAATTGTCAATCACATTTTTTCGCGCCAAAAATTGCTTATGCAAATCATCACCAAGCCCATATAAATGTGCGTATCATCTTGTAGAGAATTTAATTCCCTTTAATATGATACCACACACATGGCTGAAACGACAGGTTCGCAAAGCCGACGCACCAAGTTATTAACGTATAGCGGGAGAAGCGCCTGGTGTAATGGTATCAAAATGCTGTTTTAGCTAATATCAAAATTTTAAGTTTGGATCACTATAACTTTATTTGTTAGTAAAAAGCTATGAACTTGTCCTCTTCACACAATATTAACCATATATATGGCGCAGTTTTTATGGAAAGTTTTATGCATTATCTGAAAAGCGATTTTGAAAATACTGATAAAATAATGTATTTTGCACGTGACAATTCAATATTTTTTGGGGAAAAATGGTAAAAAATTCACATTTTTTGCGCCAAAAATTGTTACGATATTCACCACCACAGCCATTCAATGATATCATCTTATAGAGAATTAGATTCCCTTTACATATGATACACACCACGTAGCGTGAAAGGAGCTTCTATTCAAACATTCATCTTCAAAATTGGGACGTTATATATTAGTTAGACATGGTGGCCATTTTGAAAAATGCCGCCATTTTCTTTTTAGCAGCAGATTTTCAGGTAGTCCACCTGGCAAGGTGTTCAGGGAGGTCTCCTGAAAAGCGTTCTGATACCGAACACAACCGTCTTTACAACACCCGATGTACTGTGTTGACCGGCAAAAATGGGGGTTTTGCCCCCTGTATTAATGTGTCTGTGTGGCAGCAGCTATGCGTGCGGCGGACTGTGTGTGTTGTTGCCAGACATGAGCATTTGACCGGCATTTACACGCTGATTATAGGCCGAATAGAGTAAGGAAATTAGACTGGTAGTAAATACATTTCGTGTATATTTGCTTCTCTTTTCTTAGCTCATCTGACTATATTAGAATAATCAGATTGCAGCGTATAGAATCGCCATGATTGTCCGTCCGTCCATCTGTCAACGAGTTTGGGCACAACCATCCTAAAACGGCTTCGACGTACGGCATTCGAAAGTCGAGACGGTAGGGGAGGGTAATCCTGAAAAACGAGTTGGATGTTTGAAGCCTGGGGGTCAAAGGTCAAAGGTCAGATGGTCTGTAAAAGAAGGGGAACATATTCCTCTTTAACTTAAGGTATAGGAAGAAATGCAGAATTGCTGGCCACCAAAGTCTAAACGGCATTGAGCCTATGCTCTTAATATTCGGTGTTATAGTGTGCATGGCAGGAAACATCACCAGTGCCGAAAATTGAGAGGTCACCAGGTCAAAGGGCCAGTGACGGCGAAAGGTTACTGATATCAGACATTTTCTGAGGACATGGCCTACGGTCAGAGTTGACAAAAAACTTTTTTGTTTTCAGCCGCTCACCAACCATTTTGTACACTTTATTGAAAGGACCAATTGAAATTGCGCTTGCTGCGCAATGCTGTACGTGCCGAAGCAGGGAATGCTCTGATTAACCTTCTCCAGGCCTTGCCCCATTAACCGTTTTTCAGGTGGCCGGAGCCAGGTTCCGGCCACTTGCGGAGTATGAGATTCATGTGGCCAACATGCGATTCAGGTGGCCCGGTTAGCCTACATTTTATTAAATGATTCTTAGTTTTGTTATTCTTAACTGATGGTAATGTGTTTTGGGCAATATAATCGCAATAACATAACTAGATACGACAACAACAAAGAAAGAACAAAACCCTGCACTGAGCTTAAAATAAGTTTCAAATATTAAAAAGGCTTTCAAATCCTACTTGCCAGTATCTCTCTATTAAGTATGGCCAGAAATCCTCATGTTCATTAAGATGACAATCAAAAACTGTCCTGTCATATCAGTTCCACATGCTCAGGTGGACTGTTCATTCTGAACCTTCTGATGAAGTCAGAATCAATTTCTGCACCCATGTGGGGTCAGATTCCATTCAGAGTCTGGCCTCAGCTGCTGGTCTTTTTGCACATCCCTAACACCCCTCCCCCTTACACCCTCTGCTGTCTCATACGAGTGTATCCATCCCTACACCATCCCGCCGCTAACGCCCTCTGTCTCTACAGTGTCATCATCCCTACACCCCTCCCCCTACACCCTCCCTAAGTCTCTACAGTGTAATCATCCCATACACCCCTGCCCCCTACACCCCTCTGTTCTACAAGTGTCATTCCATCCCTACACCCTCCCCACTGTACAGTGTGCCTTACACCCTCTCTGTCTCTACAGTGTATCATCCCTAGCACTCCTCCCTGTCTTTACAGTGTATCATCCCTACACCCCTCCCCTTGACCCATCCTGCTCTGTCTTCCTACAGCCGTGTATTCATCCCCTACCACCCTGCTCCCCCTACACCATCCGTGTCTCTACAGGCTTATCAACCCTACACCTCCCCCCTACACCCTTCCTGTCTTCATACAGTGCTATCATTCCTATACCCCTCCCCCCCTAGAACCTTCCCTTGGTCTCTACAGGGTGTATCATCGCCTACACAACCTCCCACTACACCCTCTCTGCCTCTCTACAGAGGTGTGATCATCCCTACACACGTCCCCTACACCCCTCCCTGTCTCTACAGTGTATCATCCACTTACACCCTCCCTCCCTTCACCCTTCTCGTCTCTTACCAGTGTTCATTCCCTACACCTCTCCCACCTACACCCTTTCCTGTCGCACAGTGTATCCTCCCTACCACCCCTCTCTCGTATACATTACACTTCTGGTATGGTACTCAATTGTCTTGAACTTGTGGAGAAATGAAGTTGCCGCAACGACACACCCACAGCGCAAGGGGGGGGGGGCATTTTGTAGCGAATGGATTGCAGGTGCACTTTACTGTTTTGATTTAGCGCCAAAGTAAAGCAATGTTTCTTGTTGCGATGGGACATTCTCAGAATCTGCTTCCGGTCAAACCACACGTACAACAACACGCGTCGCACGCGCACATGCACACACACGGCAAACACACACAACACACGCGTACACACGCAACACCGGCTGCGGACGTCCGCGACACGCATATGCACACACGCCAACAGTACACACACACTTGGCAATCAGCAGAGCGGCCCTTTGTGTAATCATGCGCTGCTATCATGTTCACACAATCTTCTGGTGTCGAGATGGATGTCCAGACGCGTAACCTAAGCGGCTCCTTGTCCGGAAACGCCGACGGCCTTATTGCTTATTGGTGGCAGGCGGGCCCAACCTGACAGTTTCAGTGGAGCCCGACGCCGTTTCAGGTGGGTCATTGGCACCCGGGCCACCGTTAAAGTCGGAGCCCTGCTTCTCTCCCAGTTAACACAGTTCGAAGTTCTAGTTCAGTTCAAGATTCAAGTTCAGTTCTTAGTTCAACACAGATTTTGTTGACTGGTTAACAAAGGACTGAACTGCTTTTGCTATTAGAAGCCCACTCACCTGCCCGCTCCCCCTGCCCCTTCCATTCCCCCTCCCCTCTCCATATCACCCTTCCTACCACACCACTACCTGCTCGCGCTCAACGCGCATATTCCGATTGC